AAACGAAAATATAAATGTGCTTATATATTTTTGTCTGTGTTCCAAAAATCTGTCAATATAAATTCTTGAAAATGAAAGTAAACAAAATTAAAAAATATTATACATTTTTAAAACGAATATAAATGAAAACACCTACACTTTTAATTTAAATATACATATTTAGCTTTTAAACCTAAAATTTTAAAAAAATTTTATCGTTGTACCTTGAATTCAAGTCATTATGTTTTCAAAACAGTTCGATAAGCCAGCTCTTTATTGTCATATATCAGGATTTGTATAAACTATTTAGCACTAGATCTTTAAAGTTAACAAAAAAAAGGCAGATATAACCGTTAATTAATCAAGAACTAGTTCATTAAAAAGTTGAATTCGGATATTAAATTTTTAATAGGGTTATCTATTGGAATATGAATAATTAACAGAAAGTCAAGGCTCAAAATGATTTGGCAATCTCTTCTTCGGATCTAATAAAAAGCATCAGGAATAGATCAAATACACTACGCCAAGTAGAATTCAAGATCAATTAGGGGCCACAAAACAGACAAGACCAAGACCAAGAAATCGCTTTATAAATAGAGCCATTAGTGTAAGCAATAACTATGCAAATGATGGAAATACAAAACGCTGAAAAGCTACCGAAAGCGAAAACCCCAAAGAACCGATGACCCTGTGCGGGTTAAATGGTTAAACGGCATTTCTGAGCTCAAGATACCAAGACAACCAGATCCCAAGACCCCAAGACAGACACTGATCCGCCAGAAGAATCGCATTTGATAAATTTTGATAAGACCGAAAACGGAACGACTAATTGAGTGAAGGCCGAACGTTAAGATCTGATGCATTAACATATATGAGGTCCGAGCATGAGAATGGGGCATCTTATCAGTGGAGAAGAATCACCGTGGTCTGAAGAATCAGATTGAAGATTTGCTAGTTCCATTCAGCAGTACTTTCGGAACTTGGAACTTGGCTGTGCGCTCGGCAAACTGGTCGCCCGAAATCGTTAATCGTGAATCGACGCATATTTTATCGTTAGTATATATATTTTATATATATTCCATGCTTTATAAAAAATTAACGCAGATTTAAATTTACGCACATGCAAAGACACACACAGAAAGACATCAAGAATCATCATTAAACGTGTATGCTAATTTGATGATGGCGGTTTTCTAATTTTGTTGCCCCTAGAAACCAGATTTCTATGCTGCGATCTGCGATCAGTCTCCGTCAGCAACCGAAAGCCCCGAAAGCCCAGAAGAATTGTCCAGAAGACCCGTAAAAAGTTACATCTTCTTGGGGGCTGGAGACTAGATAGAGACTGGTGAGCTGCGCATCGATCCGCAGATGGATGATGGAGCCCCTCTTATGGGCTAATCCCCTCCCTCATGTTTTTTTTCGGTTTTCTGTGCTTAGCCCATCTTAACGTTGACAAACTTTGGCTTTTTTCGGATTCTAAGTGGCTGCGACGCCGGCAGAGGCTCAGTTCGTTGTCCGGTTCCTATTTCTGCCGACGTCGCTGCCGGCGTCGCAGATAATACCATATATAAGGAAACAAGAAGTCGCATCGTTTGTATTTATTTGCTAGAATCTGTGAGCATCGGAACTGACCGAGCCGCTACAACAATATAATCAGACAAAAAGGAATAAAGTCCTCGTTTCGAATTTTTTTTCGCCACACAAACACACACAAAAATGAAGAGTTTTGTAAGTGCCCAAAAAAAAGCTAAAGACAATTTAAAACATTTTTTTTGCGGTGTCCTAAAATGAATAACAAGGATCAAGTGAAAGTGCGCGCAATGGAAAAAGTCCAAGAAAAAGTGTACAGATTGTTAGGCCACAGAAATGACTTTAAAAATTATTTTCAAATTAAAAACTTGAGGAATAAGGATAATTTATAGTTTCCATATGCCTCGGAAATGGCAAACAGAAAGTAATGACCCAGTCTTTTAAGAGAGGTCCCCGAAACCGAAAATGTTCGGATCACCTTGAGCGAGCGCACAGCTCATCAACGTCAAAACAGACGAATGACAAATATCGAAACGGTTGGAACCCATTATGATTAGTGCCTCGGCCCGAAACCAAATCAAATAAATCACGGCAAATATAGATAAAAAACCAAAAAAAAAAAAGAAAAGTATATAAAACAAAAAAAAAAGAAACAAAGCACCGAGCGACTCGCGACTCGCGAGACAAAGCGACGCTATGCGGTCAGAAACGCCAGCGAATCGCGCGCGACTTTGATTAATTGCCCGCTAATGGGAAATGCAAAATACGATGTCCGAATCCGAATCCGAATCGAGAAAATAAATCGAAATCGAAATCAAGAAAACGCCCGTGATCTACACATGTCGAGTGGCTATACTAGAGTGGAGATACTAACTCCGGAACTTCTCTCTTTCAGCTGATCCTTTTGGGCCTCGCTGCTCTGGCGGCCGCCGATGTCAAGCACCTGACAGACCGCAACCTGGACCTCTTCAAGTACAACCCCAGCGACGTCTACACCCTGCCCGAGGACATCGATGACGACAAGCCGGCGGTGCACTTCAGCGGCGACGTCATGAAGGCCAAGACCGAGACCCTGCAGAACTACAACTCCGGCAAGAAGTTCAAGCTTGAGTGAGTATATAGAAAGAGTAGATAAACAAAAATTTAAGGAAATAATAGATAAACTGTTTGGTATTATTTTCATTAGAATTTCTAGTATTAGTATCATATTTTTAGATATTTACAATTTATTTTTGTTTTACTTAATGCAATAGTAATATCTTAAATATTATTTTTTAAATCCTTAAAAACATGCAGGACTTGTTAAATGTAACATAACAACAGTAGATTTTATTTTTCAATCCTTATATAGTATTACATTTTTTAAAGATTTAATTTTTTTTATTTTATTAATTTGTATTCTTTCTTCTTAAATTTAATTGAAATGTTTGCTAAACGTAAAACCCCTTCTGTTGCAGACTGAAGACCCAGAACGGCATCCAAGTGAGCAGCGTGGGCAAGCTGAAGGACGACAAGACCTTCGTGGTCAGCGGTTCCTACTCGTTCACCGGCGCCGATGGCAAGCGGTACAAGACCCGTTACACCGCCGATGAGTTCGGCTACCATCCCATCACCGAGCTGGATCTGGACATTCCCGAGTGAGTATATCCCAGATTATTGAAAAATTAAAAGCAAAGTAAAGAAATAGTATAAAACTGATACAAAATTGTAAACCTACTTTTGTTCTTTAAAATCACTTTCAATATTTAATAATTCTAAAAGCGGTTGGGCAAATACTGAAATTAATTATTCTATATTTTAAAATAATAAAGACAAAAATATTAGTATTTACTCTTTCAGAACCGGTTCCTAGTTCTATTAATGTCTAACAAATCTTCTGATTTGATTTAGTTTTTTGTAATATAGAGGTTCTATAAAACACTCCACAAAATGCGTTTGAACTAAAAAATGAAATGAAACAAACTAAAGTAATATTTTCAAATTGAATAAAATATTTTATATAAAATCAATAAACAATTACTAAATTTCAATAAAATGGTAGAGAAACTTACTATAATATTTACTTTATTTTCTTACCATTTGTGTAGGCCCCAGCCCCTGGCCTCCGCCGGACAGCGCCAGACCGTCGACCCCAGCAGCCTGTTGGGCAACAAGAACCGCTTCCAGTTCCTGCAGCAGACCCTGGACTCCGACCAGGGACCCCTGAGGGGCAGTGGCCAGAGCGGCGACGACTACAGCTACACGGCTCCCTACTCCCATGGCTACGACTACCAGCCCCCCCAGGTGCCCCTGTCGACGCCCTCCCGTCTGTATTTGCCCACGGCATAAGGTGGCCAGGACACGATATGCCCCCATGGAAATACAAGAAGAAAAAATACCTACCTAATCCCAAACCCCTTCCCGATCCCCGATTTCCCCAGCTGCAAGTCAAGTATTTAGTTTTTTAAGTGCAACTCCAACAGGCAAACGAAGAGTAAACAAGGCAATCACAGAGCTAGCGAAATTTTTTTTTATCATTTTTTAGTGTTATACACGGAGCACAATTTAATATGATATTATACCTATATGCGATGATATATGTTATATATCTACACACCCCACTACACACAAACAAACACGCACACACAAACAAAAAACACACGCACACACAAAAATCCCGACAAAAGACACAAAACGAATCTATGTATATACACTGAGTGATATTAGTAGTAAATAAAATGGCTAAACTAACGATCAAAGTCTTAATTGGTTTAATTGGTAACTGGGAATATATTAGCGAGAGATCCAAATCGCGGGCCTTGAAAGGCTTAGAAGTGGCCTCAACTTTTCCTAAAATAAATAAATGAAATAGCACATTTCTAATATTGGCTTCGGGTTATTTAACATAAGTAGATTTGGTCATTTAATTTATTGCCACGTGAGTGAATGATTTAATCTAATTAATTTTAAGATTTTGTATACTTTTGTATTGTCACAATATATTATATTTTAAAGCAGAGCGAAAAACAAATTTCATTCAATCCCAAAAGCAGGCAATATAATGTGGAAAAGATATAATATCTATTATATATAGATTATTATTCGCATAAACTTACAAATAACATAATTTTTAAGCGGTTAAATCTGGTTAGGTCTCCGTTTAAGAATATCATATAAGTGGGTATCAACGGAGGCTGGCCAGGTGATAAGCCGATTCGCTGGAGTAGCAACAGATGTTGTTCCGAGCACCTGAGATACACCCGATGAACCCGGGACCCCTGATATGATTGCGATTTTGAGTTCTCGATTCGCGATTGGAAATATTCAACGGGAAAATTATTGCACATTTCCACCATTTATACCAATTTTTTGGTTGATTCACCTATAAACCAAAACGAGATGCACTGCGAACCATATTTAAAATATAAATTTCTTCTTGGATTTTCGAAAGTTTATTTCACTTTTTGCTCTGCTTAAAAACTATGTCGCATCGTGGTCGAAATCGATGGCACCTACATCTTGAAGTACTTGGTGTAGTAGTCGTTGAAGAAGGAGTAGTCGAAGTGGCCGTAGTTGGAGTAGCTCTTGTACTGGTGGTACTTCTCCATGGTGTCTTCGTGGTAGATGGTCACGTCCTTGAAGTACATGTTCGGCACGAAGAACTCGTACTCGTCGACCTCGCGATCGAAGGGATAGCCGAAGGGCATGGAGTCCACGAAGCGGGCTCCCGATCCGATTCCGCACGAGTAGCTATAGTCGAAGGTGGAGAACTGTTCCTGCTCGGGCGCCATGTACGGGATGACCATGAAGAACATCTGCATGGGCATGCCCCGCTGCCAGCCCATGGGCAGGACCAGGCGATCGGGGAAGCCGCAGTGGGGCTCGCTGATCTCCAGCGGGAAGTCGTACTTGCCGTCGAAGGCCATCATCGTGTAGTAGTAGAGCTCCGTGTAGGTGGTGCGATCCTTGACCGTCCAGTAGAACTCGCTGGACCTCCTGGTGATCACGTTGCTGCCGGCCTGGAGATCGTAGCGGAACTCATCGATCTCCATGAAGTTCATCCGGTTGTCCGCCAGCGAGATCGTCCGGCCGAACTCATCGAACTTGGGTCCCAGGAAGGCGCGGATCACCACCTTCTCGGCCTTGGCCGCCTCAATGCTGTAGGTGTAGCTGAAGGGCTTGTGGTTCAGCCTCATCTGGCGGGCAAACAGCGACTTGTCCCACACGAACTGACCCTCGTGGAAGATCATCTTGCCGTTCATCAGGGTGGTCACATCAAAGTCCACCAGATCGAAGTAGGTGCTCAGCTCGCTGACCTCCACATGCTTCAGGGTGACGCCGGGCATCAGGAGCTGCTCCTTGGTGTACCTGGGCAGGTGGTGCATGAACTGGAAGTACACCTGGGCGATGGTCTTGTAGAACATGTAGAACAGGGGATCGCGCATCATGGTCTCGAAGTTGAGCATCACATGGGGCAGCACCTCCATCTGGTGGAGGTCCGCGTCGGCGAAGTACATGTGCGATAGCATAGACCAGAACTGGAAGAACATGTTGTCCATGGTGTCGATATTGCCCTGCATCATGTTGCCCACGAACTCGATGGCCTCCGGCTGGCGGAGATCGACCTTGTGGCCGTCGGCCGTGAGGTAGTAGCCCGTCTCGACGAGGCTGTGAACGCGACCCAGGAAGCCGGTGATCTTGTCCAGCATCTCGAAGTTGCCGTACGTCTCCATCTCGAAGTAGTTCTTGCGCTGGCTGAAGCCGACGCCGTTGTAGTAGATCATCTGCGGGTCGTAGCCCATCTCGATCTGGTGGAGCCAGGAGAAGGCGGGGATCTCGCCCAGGCCGTGGGACAGACGCTCCATGTGGTAGCGGCTGAGCAGCTGGTGGACATTGTACAGCCACCATTCGCCACGACGATCGTTGTGCAGATCGAAGGTCTTGCCGTCCAGGAAGAAGGAGTAGTCCATGTTCAGGTAGTACCAGTACGAGTTCCAGCCCAGATCCTCGGTGAAGTAGGACAGCTGCGACTCCTCGTTGTAGAGGTGCAAATCCCGGGAGTAGTCCACCGGCATGTAGAACTTCTTCACCTCGGCCATCATCTGGAGCCACTGGGCCTCCTGGTTGAACTCGTGGATGTTCTCGCGCAGCATGTACTTGTCCTCGCTGTACCAGTGCTCGGTGCCCAGGCCCATCAGCTTCCACCACTGCCAGGTCTTGAAGTCCTTGATGTACATGTAGTCGCTGGACTGGTACATGTTTCCGTATCCCAGCGACGACGTCTTGTGGTAGATATCCAGGTACTCCTTCTCGTACAGGCTCATCTTCATCCACATCTCGTAGTCGAACTTCTCGGCCTCCAGCACGAACTTGCTGTGCAGGAAGAACTGGGGGAAGATCTCGTGGATGGCGGGCAGGATCAGACCGTGGCAGTCCTGGCGATGGATGACGGCCAGGGTCAGGGCGTAGACGAACATGCCCTCGTTGACGTGCATGCGGGCCCAGGCCACGTCGGCCCTGAAGGTCTCCCAGTCCTTGGCGTAGTAGAAGAAGTTGAAGAGGCCGCGAGCCTGCTTGGCATGCGGCTTCACCAGGGCGCCGAAGAACTCTCCTTTCGGCAGCAGGGCGTGCGCCTTGTGGGCCTCGAGGAACTTCTCCATGTACAGGTCGAAGTGCTGCGCGGGGTAGAGTGATAATTAGAGTGACATAACCCAGAGGTAACCCATCCTCCCCACTCACCGTGTAGTGCGGCTTCTCCAGGTGGAACTTCTCGCCCGTCTTTATGTGCTCCTCGAAGGCCAGCGGCTCCTCCATGCGGTAGACGATCTCGAAGAGGAACTTCTGCTTCTCGAGGAACGACTTGTCGGCGATCTTGACCTTGTGCGTCTGCTGGACACCGGCCGCAGTGACCAGGACCACGCAGGCCAGGAATGCGATGGCGACCTTCATGATTGGCGACTCGGGAATCTCAACTCTCAACTCTCAACTGCTCCGGATTGGATGCACCCAGTGGATCCAATGCCTAAAGACTGTTGCCCTGTCCAGTGACCAAGGCGGCTTTTATAGCCCCGATTCCCCGGGAATCGCGAGTCGTTAATCCAAAGTCGGGAGTATCATATCTGGGGTCACGGGGTCATCGGGTGTATCTCAGGTGCTTCGAGCAACATCTGTTGCCACTCCAGCGAATCGGCTTATCACCCGGCCAGCCTCCGTTGGTCCTCACTTATCGAGTCCAAATTTCTATTTCCAGCTGCAGTTATAACACAAGAATATCATCGAGTCAAATTTGAAATATTCGCTTTGGCTTGAATTTATTCCAGACAGATCTAGTCTGATCTCAAGTTATTCCCATGCTGCTTAACAGTTACAAATATTTCAAATGTAGATATTAAAAAAAAGGGTTTTAGGAACCAGAGTTTAAACAAAGGGGAGAAATTAAAAGTTATTAATCTGTAACGCCTTCTTCATAGATATTTTTCAACAAATACAAGTTATTTTCTCTTGCAAATGCAGAGATTATAGATTATAGATATTGCCTAGAATTGTCCCTATACTACGTGTATTTTTATCTAAACGGCGTTAGAATTGAAGTTAAAATTTTTGGAAGATAACCTCGTAGGTCGGTTAGGTATAAGTAAGCTCGCTGCAGTAGTAGATAAATCTGTAATCGGAAGAGGTTTATTCAATACACTTTACTATAAGTGGTAAATGCCCGGATTTCTATTGTAGGTGCGTATCAACTGATACCAACTATGAAGATGGTAATTATATTCCTAATACAACGTACCCTTTTTACTCTACGAGTAACAGGTATAAATATTGTTATAATTTTCCAAAATTTTCGCTTGTTTCGATTAATTTGCAGTGAATATTTTGTATCCAGGAGAGCTAAGTAATTATAAAGGAATTGAAAATTGCGCCATTTTGTGGTACCGACGGACTCCAACCAATTATAATGTATTGGCTGACATGACATATGTAAAAAATCGTATCCAAAGACAGTCTCCTTTGTTTTCTTAAATGAAAAAATTTCTCAAAATATTTTTCTAAAAGATATATACACACAATTTTTAAAAAATAAACGATAAGAGATTAAAAAAAATTTTAAACGGCTCGCTATATTTCAATCCTCTATCGAAAAAAAAAGTTTCGATTTATTCTGAGACTTGACCCAAATTAGCCTGTCACGTTTCACGTGGAATGACCCATTTGGTAAGTAAAAATAAAAAAATTTAAAATATTTTAAAAAATAAAAAAAAATGTTGTCCAAGTTTGTTTCGTAAATAATGTAAAATTATTTTAAATAAATGCAATCCAAGCTTTTGACCTCCAAGTTGGTTTCGTAAATAATAAAAAAATAATTTAAAAATGTGAAATAAATGTATGTAAGCTTATGACCTCCAAGTTGGTTTCGTAAATAATGTAAAATTATTTAAAAAATATAAAATAAATGCATTCCAAGCTTATGACCTCCAATTTTTTCGTAAATAACTAAAAAATATTTAAAAAATGTAAAATAAATGCATTCCAAGCTTTTGACATCCAAGTTGATTTCGTAAATAATTTAAAATTATTTAAAAAATGGAAAATAAATGCATTCCAAGCTTAAGACCTCCAAGTTGGTTTCGTAAATAATTTAAAAATATTTAAAAATGTAAAAATAAATACATTCCAAGCTTGTGACCTCAAAGTTGGTTTCGTAAATAACTAAAAAATATTTTAAAAATGTAAAATAAATGCATTCTACTCTTATAACCTCCAAGTTTCTTTCGTCCATAATTTATTTTAGTACACATGGCAATCTCAGCCCGGAAGTATGCAGATGATAATGGGGGAACTGCTTGCTCTCCTCAACTGGCGGCTCCCAGCAGCAGCTCGATCCGCTCCCTGGCCTCCACGAAGGCGGCCATCACCTCGTCCAAGGTGGTGGCCCTGGATGTGTCCGCCTTCGAGCCGGACTTGGCCTCATCATCGCTGTCGCCATCGCTGCTCTCGCCGTTCGCCCCGAGGTCCAGATGGAAGTGGTGCAGCTGGCCGGCGGTGTCCACCTGCCGCTGCTGCAGCTTCTGCAGCCGGAGCAGCAGGGATCCCGTGGTGGTCATACCCCGCTCCTTCCTCGCATCCATGCGGCTGTGCACTTCCGACTGGCGGTGGACATCGAAATAGGCCTCGAAGTCGAAGAGGCGACGGCCGCCGATGAAGTAGCGATTGAGGGCATCCAGCCAGTTGCCCACCGGCCGGATGCACTGCAGCCGAACGGAGTCCCTGGCCAAGGCGGAGGTCAGCGAGAGGGCATAGTGGGCATAGCCCTCGCAGCGCTCCCGCTGCCAGCCGTCGATGCTGATGACCTCGAAGTACAGGTGCAGCAAATCTTCCGGCCGGTGTTGCTCCTCGCAGAGCAGCTCCACCTGCCAGCAGTGACCCAGTCGGGCCAGCCTCAAGTCGCCGGCATTCCGGCACGTGGCCGTGGCTCCCTGCAGGTCCGATCCCTCATGGATCGTATTCGCCGGCGGCCTCAGATAGTAGCGCACATGGATGTTGGGGTACTCGAAGTGCTGGGCCTCCTGCAGTTCCAGCAGCAGGCAGATCCGCCTCATCCGCTTCGGCGGCATCTCGAACTGCAGCAGACTGCGCCGCTCGCTGGCCGCCGCCCGCCGGCGGTGGTAGTAGTCCAGGATCTCCAAGGCCGTGGCTTCTTCGGGGAGATCAGAATCGGGATAAGGATCAGGATCAGGATCCTCCTCCGGAATACTCCCGCCGCCTTCGTTTAGCTTCACCAGGGGCGTGGCATTCTCGAAGCCAAAGGCGTACAGCTGCCGGCAGTCGTTGTCCCGCTCGATCTGCACCACATAGTCCAGATCCTGGGCACTGCCGCTAAAGTCGGGGTACACGTAGAGCAGACCCTCGGCGGGATCGTAGCGCAGGCTGACCAGCAGAGTGTCCTGCTGCAGATCCGCATAGATGTACATCAGCTGAAGGCCCTGCCGATGCAGCTCCTCCGCCTCGGCGGGCAGCACATCCTCCGCATCGCCATCGACCAGGGTGTGGATGAGGCAGGTGCGGGCCGCAAAGTCGGGATCGTCGAGCAGCGAGACATCCGACATGTTGGCCGAGGACAGCCCGTTGCCCGTCCAGTTGGCCAAGGCAGAGCAGTTTCTCGGCCGGCGCTTCGACTTCCGCATCCGGCGGCGAACTCTAATGGGTTCGGGATCCCCATCCTCGAGCTGATTCTGCTGCAGCTGCAGCTCGTGGGCTTCCAGGGCCCAGTTGTGGTAGCGTCGCTGGAGCTTCGAGGCGCAGCCACCGGGATCGTGGAGGTGGCGCTCCAGTTCCGCCTGGCTGAAGTGCTTCTGCTGCCAGGAGATGCGCAATGTGGCGATGGCCCCGCTGCACAGCTCCTTGTTTCTCTCATAGAAGCGGTCGCCGCCAGAGGGGCTTGGGACCTCTACTTCCTCCACTCCCTCCTCCTCCTCCTCCTCCTCCGCCGCCTCCTCCTCCTGTCCCTCGGTTGAGGGACTCCTGCGTCGCCTCACCATCTGACCAGCATTTCCAGCATAACCCACATTATAGTAACTGCAGTAGTAGCCCAGGCGATTCTTTCCGCCGTACGAATCATCGCCCTGGGGCACGTGGATGAAGCAGTCCTGCCAGAAATCCTCCTCCGATCCGGGATAATGGCCCTGCCCATGTCCGTTGGCCGCCTGGGCTCCCACATACTCGAATTTCGGCACCGGCAGCCATTCGCTGATGTGACGGAGCTTCAGTTCCAGCTGCAAATCTCCGATATTGCCGCTCACGCGATAAACTCCTGTGTGCTTCATGTCCCTTCCTTTTTGCATGATATCCAAATATTCTAGATATTTTATTTTTGTTTTTACTGGATACCAGCCCTACTTTGTTTTCGACTTTTGAAAAACCGTTGTCACGGCAACCGGTCGATAAAATACCAAATACTATCGATGGTTGCCGCGACAACAGCTAGGGGCTGGCTACCAAATTATAGCTTGAAAATAGCCAAACTATTTTGTCAGTTATTAACCGGGATTTAAAGAAATATTTAAGCAGCAAATAAATTGTCAAAAAGAGTATTTTACTTATATTCGCCGTTTCTAGTTCTCTAGTCAAATGTTGTGAACATAAAAAATGGGAAAATGGAATGTATATATGGGCTAACACTCATTTTCGTAATAAAACTTAATTTCTTATTTCTTGTATTCAATTATTATAAATACTAAATAATTGTAACGTATATAACGAATAAAAAAAGTTAATAAAAATGTCTGCAACATTTGTTTAACTATGGTCGTCTTCTTTTAATTTTCATAAAAGCTTTGTTAAATTTATTTTAAACGTCGTTTTTAACAGAAATTAAGGATTCAAATTAAATTTTAAATTATAGTTTTTATTTGTTAAAATTTGTTTATTTTATGAAGCTAAAAGTAGCTACATTTGGCTGGAAAAACACAGAGTCCACAGCCCTGGAAAATACCAACTCCGCCGTGGTATATTCGATAGACCTGCCGCAGGCGCTATCGATTGTTTGGCGAGCTTTAGCTCTGTGTTTGTGTTATCGTCGGTTGCTCTTTGCACTCCACATTCCTCGCTTCGTTTTGGCCGCCAGTTGTGTTTTCGATTGCTCTGCGTGCTGGTCGCTCCTCCAAACCTCCAAGTCTCCGACTCTACGATCCTACGATCCTACGTTTCTTCGCGGCTACTCCAACTCGCAGTCATTCGTCTGTTCGATTGTTTGTTTTCTTCGCTGCACTTTTTGCGCGCGCGCAACCGCCGATAAACAGCGAAAAACCAGGAGAAAAACTGCAATAAACACTGGAAGTGCATTTTTAACATTTAAAACGACTCTGTGAATGTGTCTTGATTGAAACATTTACTTTCGTTTTTTTTTTTTGCAAATTTTGTTCTGTTAAGTGTTAAAAACTCCATTTGAAGCGCACGGAAAATAAACTTTTTAGCAAAATGCAGCAGAAAGTTGAAGAGGTTAGTACTTTTACTTGGATTTATGGATAATTTTATAGATTTTTTTCATGAAATTACAGATAATGTTTAATTTCCCCTCCTTAATATTAGCTAAAAAATTATCTTTTATTTTTAATTTGATAGGTACATCATTTTTGTACAAAACAATATTTTTATTTACTTTACGAGGGGCTTTTATCACTAACATTTTGAAAAACAAAGTTTTAACTATCCAACTATGTATGTATATCCCAATCTTATTGATAGGCTTTTTTTTATATTTTAAAGAGAAAGGATTCAAACTTCAAAATTTATTTTTTAAAATACAATACGTAATTGATAAGAAAAAAATATAGAACTTAGAACTTCGCTCGAATTAAAAACTAAATTACCAATTACTGTTATTTCTTAAATCTTGCGTCATAATATAGGAATAGTTCAGTCACGATTGCTAATAAAAAATATTTAATAAATACCTAAACAATCTGTTCAGGTTTTATTGGTATATACAAAGATAAAGTGATAAAAACAATAGATCAAATATTAAAAACAAAATGGTAATGGTACTTAAAAATACATGGAAAATGGTTTAACCGAATTTTTTTTGTTTGTGTATTATTGTAGTTTTTATTGCTGCTTTTTTTGTTTTTGTTTTTGTGCTTTAACTTTTTCTCCTTTTCCTCCTCCTCCACCTCATATTTTTGCCTCCCTTTTCCTGTATTTCATTGAACTTAGTACGCCCCCGATGCTGCGATGCCTCTGCCGGCGTCGCTGCCGCTGTTCTGCCGTGACGTTCCATTGACTGATTTTCCCGACTTTCCGCAGAAAAACAAAAAAAAGAAAAACAACAGAAAAAAGCAAACAACAAAGCCAACACCAACAACAATGCTCCGGCCACAATTGTAAAATGGTTTTGTTTGGTTTTTCATTTACATGTTGTTGTTCTTTTAGTGTGTTTTTTTTTCGTTTTTCTTCTTCTTCTTACTTTGCCCACAGGTGTGCATGTGTGTGCCCCCTATTGTTGTTATTGTTGTTGCCGCATTATTTGCACAGTTGGTTTTTTTTTTGGTTTGTGTTTTATATATTTTTGGAGCCGTCTTGATCTTTTTTCTTGGGGGCCAAAACCAAAGTCATGGTAAGAGCTGTGAAATTTGTGATCGCCATTGTTTGGACTCCATTTTTCGTTGTACTCCACCTCCTCTTTCTCTCCCTCTTTTGTCCACCCTCCTTCGAAGATGAACACATCAAGATCTTGAAGAGAATTAGGCCTTAAGTCCCAAAGTGTGCCACAAATGTCAAGTTCGATAAACAGCCTTTTCCAAAATCATTTACATCATGTTTTGAAAATGTAATATCATATCATTTTGGTTAGTACTAGAGTTTTCAACTATAGGGATTTAAAAAGGTTGTATTAAATATTCGAAAAGTAATAATTGATAGGTTTGTTAGAACTAACCACTCCGGGGAAAGTTTAAAAAAATAAAAGAAATTTGGTTGACAAATGGTTTATTCTAGGATTATGCATTTCTAAAATAAAATTTGGACTGAAGAATTGACATCAGAAAATAACAATAATAAGGGGATGAGTAACGAAAGCTTATGGCAACCCGAATAAGTAATTTGTTTTCTTAATAGTGGGATTCTTCTCTATATAAAACCGAATAAATTCGTTTTAAATACGAAATACATACATATCTACCCATGCAAAAGAGACTTACTTATAAAAAGATGCATAATAAGAAGCGCCGAAACAGCTGTTTAAGCAGCTTACTCAACAGCCCAGAACGCCGAAAAAAACGATATATGGTTTTGGAAAACTTTAAAGAGATGAAACACGGAACCAAAAAGCCAGAAAAAATGCCTTTTTGGCCTGGCCAATGCCAGTTGCAAGTAAAAGTCGAAAAACCTGTAGCCACGAGACACCGAGGGGGGGAACATCGGGCCAGATGACTGTCCATGACCCAAATAAAATGCCTCGAGAATTGCAATGGACAGACAAGACGACAAATGATCGAGGGGGCGCCGCAGGGGCGGCGAATTGAAGGGGGAGTGAGGGGGGTTAGTCCATGGCCAAGTGATTGAGACTGGCTGATTGGCCATGGCAACGGATTGAGCTCGAGGATCTCCCCGATGCGATTCAGGCCAAGCTGAAGATCTGCACTCGATCACCAGTCCGTTTGAGAGAAGCGTTCAGAAAAAAGTCGAGAGCAGAAGTCTAAATCCGAGAAATGAAGACTCAATTCCTGATTAACTTGGATACACTCAGCCAACTATTTATGACGATGATTGAAGACATACAGAAAGATTGAAGCCAAGAACCCTCAAAGCTATCGTTACCTTTTCAATTATTCTATCATAAGAAATTTTTATTTACTCCCCTTTAAAATATTAGTAATGAAACTTAAGACATTAAAGCTTTTTCTTCTATAAAATTTAAAATTCAAAATATAAATATAACATTCCCAAAATATTCTAAATAACTAATTTAATTTAATTAATTTATTTGTTTTATCCCGATGCGACAAGACTAGGTCTTATAAATTATTACATCGGTCACTTTGGAAAAATTAATAATAGGGAATTTTACAAAACTTAAAAGCTAATACAAAATTAATAAAGAGGAATACAAAATAAACAAAGAAAAATAGTTACGTTTAACATTAAATAATTTAAATTAAACAGATAGAGTGTAATAGTAATAGTATTATTATGATGTTGTGCTTTTCAAATAATTGGTAAGATCTTTTTTAAATTGCGTTGCGTTCCTTAGGTTTTAATATTATTAGGGAGGTTCCTAATATGTTTAAATTTTTTTTGTATTTTATATGTAGATGGAACCTAATATTATTATAATATAAACATATCTACAAGTTCATTAACTCCTTCATTAACAATGCATTCCTCAACAATTACATTTTTTCCCCCTGAGCATCTCCATGAGTTTTTCCCAATTTTGCGGCAAAAAATGCCTCCTAAAAACAAACAGAAAAACTCCAGGAAAGGAAAAGAAAAACCCCAAAAACCGGTTAGAATTTGATGCATCATTTCTGGTTGTTCGCTGGTCTATTAAAATTTCGCTTTTTTGCGCATTGCGGACACAGACGGCGGGGTAGTAAGATTTTCACGTCGAATTTACCCGTTTGCCAATTGAAAGTAAAAATGCCCGAAACCGGTCAGCGAAGCCGAAACCGCAGAAAGCACCGTGAGATCCTGACACCAGCTTTGATAAATGCCTAATGAATGTCTTTATGCAGCTTCGCAGCCAATACAAAGTTTGTAAAAATGGAAATTACCCCGCGTTGAAAAACATAAGCATAATAATTATTGGGTGGGGGCTGCGACAAGATGATGGGCTACTACCTGCTACCAAAACATAGTTTGCTGACGATCAAGGTGGACAAAAGCCAGCAGGCGTATCGGACTGAGATCCAAAGAATCCAAAGAACCCAAAACTCAAAGCCCGAAACCCAAGACCCAAGAGTCCGAGTGTAATTACACATAAACGCAGATGGTCAGATGATCAGATGAAAGAGGGGATAGCCGAAAGTAACCTTTTGGCGGTGGGAGAGATGGCCCAAAGCCGCAAAGCGGGCTCAAATGGAAAACGCAAACAACAAACGCAACGCAAAGTACGCTGAAAAACGAAAAATAACTTGAAGAAATAAAAATAAAAAATAAAATAAAAATGAAATGAAACAAAACTCGAAACTTGTCGTGCGTCGATCGCCAAAGGGGCGGAGGTGGAGAAGGTGGAGGTCAATGTCTGGGTTCAACGACTGCTGACCTCTGGCAATCTGGAAAAAGAAAAAAAACAAACAGAGAAAACCCCAAAAACAACAGTTATTATTGAAGCACTCAAACCGAAAAGATGAGAGATATTATCTCGAAAATCCGAAACTGGAGCAGTTGAAGGTAGCCAAAGAGAAGATAAAAGATATGGAAAACGAAGCAAAGCAAATGGATTTGGGATTTGTGGTGCCGAGAATCCTCTACTTAATTAACGTATCTACTAATTATGGGTGGCTAAGCCGAACTAGATTATATGAAAATCTGGAAATGGAGCTTAACATTAAACGATTTCTTTTCAATTAATTTATTAAAATCATTTGTGGATCATGCATAGAATTTCTGGTTCTACATAGATCTCATATACATATACGTCCCTCCTTAATATATTTTATATTGAGTATATTATATATTTAGAACCTAAAAAATCGAAAAAATAACTAATGACTTTAATCACAAGAGATCAATCATTTTACGCCATCAAAGGAACCTATTAATATTGTGATTAATTGACGAAAGTCCAATGTTTCCATCATTTTAAGTAAATCCATCATTTTGTATTCATAGTTTAGAATATTATCTATCTGAAAAGGTAAACTTATAAAAAACTTTAAGTGCTCGTTAAAATAACTAGCCCTTAAACAGATTATATAAAAAATAAGAGTTCATAAACTTGGTTACTCCCCGAGATTCCGTTAGGTCTTCTGGGAACCCCCAAACCTAACTCTTTTTCTGGGGAACTTTCAATTGCATCTTGGGGCCAACATCACTTCGACATGTCGAGTGCAACGGGGCTGCTGGATTGTTGCCTATGCCTATGCCTATGACCACAATAAACAATGGCAAATAAAACAAATATTATGCATCATAAATTTCACCGACACCGACAACGAAACAGAAACAGAAAACCGGTTAACTTCTCAGTTCTGGCAATGAACTCAAAAGGCAAAGACCCAGACCCAGAGCCCGACTTTTAGACTCTCACAGATGGGATCCAAATCCGAATCGGAATTGAATTGAAATGATGCCGAGGTGTAAAAGCGAAATGCTGCCCGATTACGAAATCGAAATAAGCCGAATCTGAATAATAATAGTAATAAGACGCACATAAAACATTTCGTCGGCCGATTAGAAATTCAAATGAGTTTGGGCCAGAGTTTCTGGGGGTTTATGGCGTTTTTCTTATGAAAAGTGAATGTGAATGCGACGACCGTTAGGACTGAGGCAAGCATTTA